TTTTTTTTTATTTAATCATTTGCAAGTAAGCTTTGTAAAAGGGAAAAAGGAAAAGAAATATTTAGTTTTCTCTAAGGCTTTTATTTATATGATGCAGACGATAATATCTCTAATTTAATTTCAATTAATTGAAAGCATAAATCTACAAATATTCATAGAATAAAATCCAGTAGATAACGTTTAGAAGTGTGAATAAGAAAGGGAAGAATCCACGTGAAAATTTATCAATGAGCATGGCTCGACGTAAACGTTGTTGTTGTGGTGTTAATATCGGAATTTCGTCTTCAGCTGGGATCGAACTACCACGGTGTGGAATGGCCGAAGTTAAAGAACCTCCAGTTGCACGAATTGATTGACGATGAATCCACGGATTATTGGAATCAACACTTTCAGTGCGATCTCTGTGAAAACTCTTTTGTGGAAAATATGGTAAAAGTTAATTAAAATTTAAATGGTAATAGGTAATTTGGCATAACCTTAGTGTGGGTATATGTAAAATCTCTGGATGGAATGGTGGGATTACCAGCAGGCGGTGGTGGTTGTTTATTTTTGTTAACCTTAGGAATTTGAATGTCCCCTAGGACAATATTCACTATGCAATACTCCATTAATGCCATGAACACAAAAATCGTGCAAACAGACATGAATGCGTCTACGGCTTTCAGATATGATACTGGTGGTAATGACGCTTGTGACTTTGCATGTTGTGTAGACAATGTTAGCAATGACGTTACGCCCAAGGTAACTGTTAAAGAACTCAAAAACTCAATATTATATTTTAACGACCAAGTGTTACTATAAACTATTGGGAACGCAACTTGAAATCCGCGGTTTTTCGCTACATGGCGTTACTTGGTTAATCCTATTGGAATTACGACTCCAATGTATTTATGTTTACTGTCAAAATGCTATAAGCATCGACGAATATCATTTGGTCGAATTGTAAACAACACAAATTTTTACTGCATCAAAAATGTCTCAGTTCATTTCGAAAAAACATCATTTGCGGGATTTTAATTTCACTTTAGTCCAATCAGAAATGCATATCATCATTATGGAACCTTGAGCTGAACAAGATCTTTCGATTCCAACACATAAATGTTGAGTTTGGTGAACACTGAGTGGTGAATTTGGTGTAAAACTCCTGAAAGTATAAGACTAATCAATAGAGTGAAATATTTCGAAATCAATGTTGCACCTATGCATAACCAAATACAAATGGTCCTAAAAATCACATTCATGTGTTTTTTGCAAAAAAAAACCCTCACCCAGTACAAAAATTCCAAAAAATTCCAAAATTTTGCGATTTTAAAGGTTTGTGTGTTTGAACAAAAATTTGACTATATTGCTTACTTTTATAATTAAAACATCAGAACAGAACCCCAAAAACACATTTCAAAAGAAAATTTAATGTCAAAAAATGAAGTTCCATTTTTTCCATGATCTGGGATTAACAATAATTGTCTGAAAATAGTATGCGGTTCTACGTCCTAACACAACGGTAGCACAGCGGTTGTTCATGTCAAAAATTCATTTTCGATACCCAATGGTGACCTCAGTGGAATATACTAAAAATGCATATATTTACCCATTTTGGAAGGATATTTTGGCGTGAAAAACTATTTTGCTCTTACGACTTGGACAGTAGAATAATTTTAAAGGCATTTAGTGGAGTTAAACACCATTTTGTAATGAATTTTCCAAATTGTTTAAGGAAAATTCAATTTTGTTACATATCACAATTTTCACTTCATTTCAATTGAGACGTTTGAGTACGTACTGTTTATAAGGAATATTACCTTTTAGAGTGACAATGACATTTAAGTGACACAATTTAACTTTCAGGGTTTAGAGTTACACGAATCCCTTTTATTCATTGATATGTACTACGAGATTCGCTGTACTGCACTATGACGTATATTCCATCAAAGATTACATGTACATCTTACTGCAAACCGGTACCTAACATGAATGTAGGACATGTGATACTTTGTACACATCAATTTCAGACAATTATTGATCAATGATCATTCTGGATCATGTAACCTTTAATTTTCATAATTTTACTTTTCCGCATACCTAGTTTGCCTTGTATTAGGCCAAAAAATTAAAGTCATCCCAAAACATGTTTTCTATGTATATTTCATGTAGAAAACACGATTAGAGGCAATTTTGGGGCATATTAATGTTACTTGCTGTGTGGCATGTGCTACACCCTGTGCCCTGTCCGCAAATTTTTTAGATTTTGCATGATAGCTCAGCACACATAAAAAATATTCAAAATCTGTTTTTACTGGATGATTGGAGACTGCGAGGAGTACATCTGGCCAAATTTTGAGCGACATTGGTTAACCGGTGTAAAGTGTATACACATAGGGGTATCCATTGAAAATTTTGGTTTTTCCGCGATAACATTTTCCCCAGAGACGATATTCAAAATCTGACTCTACTACATGATTCGGGGCCACGTGGAGTACATCTGGTCCAATTTCCAGCGATATTGAAACATGGAGGCCCTTAACAGGAGAAAAATCGACACCATTTTTGTTACCGCGATAAGTCTTCTACCAAAAACTTAATTCAAATTCTGACTTTGCAGGATGATTGGGAACTTCTAGGAGACGTGCTGATTAGTTTTTGAGCAATATCTGATGACCAGTGTAATTTTTGGTCCGAATGGAATGGTACCCACATTCATACATTTTTGAACCATTTATGACGCGATTTGGGTCTACAAGGAATAGACTTGGTCAAATTTTCAGCAACATTGGTTGATCGGTGTAAAACCTGAACTTTGAAGAGGCACGTATGAGAAAAATGCCTTTAAATGATATTCTTTCAATTTTAAGCGTTAAAAAAGAATGTGTAGTGCATGAGAAACCCGAATCTGATGTTAGTTTTAAGATGCAATCAATTTTTTACAGACTTTTCATACAAAAATTCACAAAAAAAAATATTTTTTTATGGGAGCCCATCTTTGTGGTAGCGTAATGACGTGAAACTTTGCACAAGTTGTTTTTTCCACCAAAAAATTACATTATGAAAGTTTGAAGAAATTTTAATGCAAATTAGCAATACCTTTCATACAACATTTTCGTTTATGAGCCAAAAATCGAGAATTTTGTATGGAGGAACCTATGATTGAAATTTCTTTAAACTTTGTGAGATTATTTAATTTGATAAGAAAATAATATTCACAATAGACCATAATTTCAGTTTATTCCCAAAATCTCGTTACCATGCGGAAAAGTAAGCCTCTTTATTTTGTTTAAAAATAAATAATTTGAAAATCGGAATTTTTGAGAATTTTCAATGAAACTCCATATTGAAGGTACCAATTTTTGAGTTAGGTGAAATTTTCTTTTGCAATGTGTTGTTTGAGTTCTATTCTGATGATTTAAGCATAAAATTAATTGATATTGGGAGTATAGTCAATGTTTTCTTCAAACGCATAAGATCAAAAAATCGACCATTTTTGCAACTTTTGGGAATTTTTAGACACCATGCGCGAATCCAGTTTACATTATTTTTTTTTGCAAAAAAACACCTAGGCAAGATTGGGACTGGGACCAAATGCATTTGGCATAGGTTATTCATGAGTGCACTTTATTTTTAAAAAATCGATACACTCTACTAATCAAACATTACTCCAAATTTACAAACGGATTCATTTTCATATTGAATTGAGATTGATTGTATACAGGAGGATTGTATGTAGGAGGGATCCATTTCAAGAATTTCAAGCATAAATAAAGAGTCTTGCCGGAGTAAGACGAACTTTTCCGCACGGTGGTAGATGCATATCTTATTGAGCTAGTTCAAAATAATATTTGTTCGATTTTTCAAGCCTTTCAAGCGGCGTAAAGTCTTGATCAAGACCAAAAAATATGTTCAAACCTTGGCATCGAAAAAAAAAACAAAAAAATAACATTCGGAGGGTTTTGAGAAATTTCAACAAAAATTAAGAGTACCTCCCATACCCTAATTTTGATTGAAATCTCTTCAAACTATCAGAATGTTATTTTTTGTGTAAAAAATAGTCTGTGCAAAGTTTCACGTCACTAAGATAGCATACAGGCATGGTTTTCATACGAAAATTCAATTTTTTTGTGATTTTTTCAAGGGAACCGTATCAAAAAATGATTGTATCTCAAAACTAACCTCGGATTCAGTTTTCTCGTGCCAAAAAACCCCCCAAATATTTTTGAGTGTTAAAGTCTACATTAAGTATGACTTTTGGACGAAAATTGGACTCTTTTTCATAGGTATCACTCCAGGCATGAAATTTTTTTCCATCAACCAAAATCGCTCAAAATCTCATGATTCCTCGCGACCCCCAATCATCCTGTAAAGTCAGATTTTGAATTAAGTTTCTGCGATGAGCGCAATCTTGCTAACAAATTTTGCGTACGACGTACAGGTTAACAAAAACCATGTTTAAAAACGCCAAATTCGTGTTCTCTAACCTCAATAATAGGTAGAAAACATGTTTCTGAAGTTTTCAAAATTTTGACCGATTACAATACTTTTCACCTTACACTATGTGTGCGGAAAAGTAAAAACCATATGTGAGTTGAGCTGAATCACAAAAATCGACGTGAAATCCAAAAATTCGTGATTCTGCCAATTGGGTGACGTAATCAAACTTGATCGAATTACAACTCATCAAAATTGTTACAGATGATCTTTATTGATGTCGACTTACCTGAAAAGAACTAACAGTCGTTTAGACATGGAATCCGAAAATTGCCTGAGAAAGGTGTAAAAGTAGGGGCTAGCGAAGAGCAACACTTTGAATGATGTATTAATTCACTTGATCATTAAAATAAATACACATTTGAAAAAAAAAACCGTGGATTTCAAGTTGCGCTCCCAATATGTAATATTTTGGAGTAGATATTAGGGATTGATATGCTGAAAATGAACACCATTACTACAGCTTCACAAATTGCGTTATGTTATAGACATCTTATTAAAAAAAAAAAAAAGTATCTATTCTATCAACTTATTAAAAACAAAATTTGTCGGAGTACTGGCTAGAGTTTGTTATTGATATGTTAAAGCTATAAGCAGACCCAACTTAAAATTTTTGCAAATTTGTTAATAACTACCTCTTGCTGGTGCTGCTTCAGGTCTATAAATTGTCGACAAGATACAAAAAAATAATGAAAAGAAGTTATTTTATTTCTATCGGCATACTATAAAATGAGTTGATACTAACTTGATCCAGAACGATACCCAAGACATAATAACGATCAGACAAGTCGGAATATAGGTATGAAACTTTTTGTATAAAAAATACACTCAAATTAAGATATATTTATCGGATAGTAAATATATAAAACTCATACCAAATAGTAACCCAGTCTTCTCTTTAGTACAAACACCACTTCAAGACATGTAAAATTTCCCGTTGAATAGACCTGAGTACCTGTATGGTTGAAAAAAAAAGTTTTAAGAGCAATAGAGCTATTGTTCCTTCTAATCACTCACAATCAGCCGTATGATTTTTAACTAACGCTAATTGGGGTAACTCAATGTTGTCGTCTACAACTAGAGGAACGCTTGGGTCCCATTGAAAAATCATATCATCAGTGGTGTGACTCACTTTTGGATTAAAGTGTGTAAAATGCAAAAAAAAAAATATCGTAAAATATATAAAAGAGAAAAAATTGCAAGCACATCATTTTTCGGTTATGGTACAAGTATTGATTCAATCACTTACAACTTTCCATCTGAAGTTTACACTCTTGTGTATCATGGGGATACACGGCAAAATTCATAGCACAAGATAGACGCAATGTTAATTTTACCATATATAAAATCGTTTTGTCCCTATGAAATATTATTATAATTATATACAGTGCCGACAGAAAGTTTGGATATACATAGGTGGTCCAACTTTCTGTCGGCACTGTATTATAAATAAATTTTAAATAATATCGTATTATACAGGGTGTCCCACAATTCCGTACAAATCTCTCTACCACAGATTCCTCAGCTCATGAGGAGTAAAAAAGTATATGGGCCTACCGTCACTTGCTTTCTATATAGACTGTATATTTTTTTTGAGCTTCGCGTTCCCAGCGCCATCTCTACGTGCACCTGAAAATTAGAACAAAAAGTATGTGTAGAATGTTTGTATAATGCAAAACCATGTGTTGTGCAACGTCCTCGCAAATTATTTCGATGGCACAAACTGTGCAAAGTAATTTTAATTTATTTTCCATCACAAATTCACTAGATGCAAACAATAAATCGGTTTTTGTTCAGAGCGTAGAATGACAGATGTCACAACAAACGATTCCATATTCAAACTTCGAATCAATCAATATTCTACACATACTTTTTGTTCTAATTTTCATGTGCACGTAGAGATGGCGCCATCATGCAGTTTTTGACATTATTTGCCATTGTAAATAATGGTAGATATGGGCACTTTTTCCGGATCGGCTGTTTTAGTGGAGTTACAGCCCTAGGCCCCTTAGGGTCAAGATTTTCTATTTTCTGGTTGATTTCCACGGACAGTCACCACAGCGGTGTTTTTCAAAAGCAATTTTTCATTATTGTCTTGTTGGAAAGGTCTCTCGACCCTCTTGAGAATACCATGAAAAAAATTCAAAAAAAGTTTCAGTGGATACGGTCAAAGTGGGTTGACCAAAAGTGAAAAAACATCAAAAATCGAGGAAAATCGTAATTTATCTCGAAAAAACA